TCCCCCTCCACCGCCCGCCTACAGCTCCAAGAGGCCTGAGGATTGGCTAAGACCGCATGTAGGCGGGACTTCGGGGGCAATTCGGCCGCGCCTATTGGTCGCAGTTCCCGGGAGGGGCAGGTTTCATGACGCGGCTGTCTTTCCTCCTGTAGGCGACGCCATTTTGTTGTCGGCGGAGAAGCGGAGCGTGTAGAGAAAGATCGAGAAGCCGCAGTTCTGAGGTAAATGTCGGCACATCCCTTCAGTTCTGTCTGCCCGTTGAGCTCGTCAAACACTTGTACGCCGTCCTGGGTGAAACGGCCCGTCGTTATCCGGTTCAAAAGGGTGGGGGAAAAGGGCAGTCGTGGAGGAGTGCCGCAGTAGACGCGGGCTGCTACAGCGGTATTGCATTTTACTGTCGAAGGATCCCTGCAGTACTGTTAGTTCTGTTTTTCTTATAGACCTAACATAATTTCCTGCGGAAGTCAATTGCTTTAAAGTTTGTTCTTCGATGTTGCTTTCTTCCGTCGCAAAAAAACCTTTTTTTGTCCTCCTGTGTGTTTCAGAACCAGCGACAGCGCTGCGTATCTTCAGAATATAAGGAGTTGTCCCCGTTTTTTCCCCCCGACCTTTACGGACAGTATACTTTGTGGTTTTCCTACGAAACAACGGTGTGTTTTTTTTTCTTGGTGGGAGGGGGGTGTATATAAGAGGAAGACCCGAACTTGCGTGAGTCACCCTCCCCTGCCAGATAGTTTACATTCCCGAGTTCGGGCTTTTGAGGCCCGGCGCTGGAGCGATCCTCGACTCCAGCTGTTCCCGACGGGAAAACGCACCTACTTCTCTAACCTAGTTCCCGGTGTAAAGTCTGTCGATGTCGGCATGTTTGGTGCTTGGGGATATTCAATCATCTTGCGCAGGAGCCTTATTAAACGTGGCTTTGGGGGCGCAGGGCGATCCGTTTAAAATGCTGCTTTGAAAACGCACAGCGGCACAACGCTGGCCTTTCTTATCTCGTCGAAATCTGATTCGCGGGCCTAGTGTTTCTGTTAACACGGCGATGTGAAAATAATGCGTACTGTCTTGAGGATCTTGAACTGGGTTTTGTGGAAAGCCTGCTGTCGGGTTGTGCATTAGATGTGGGTGATTTTTAACCGTTGGTGGAAAGTACTCCGCTACTTGTACTTGTCTGATATTTTGGTTTCCAGAAAGTTGTTTTTCTTGCTTTCCCAGCTCCTAGTTTTTGTGTTTTAAAAAGTGGATTAAAACGTGTAGCATTAGTTTAAAGGTATTTCAGGTTGATACTTGAGCTGTTATCTTCCTTATGTTGTTTTTCAGCTCCATGAAGTGAACGCCTTTGGCACTGTAGTACGTTTTTCTGTCTAAATATTCTTAATGGGGGTGACAGGTATTTTCTGATGAGCACGGTGTTCATGAATTTAGCCTTTTGAGAACTGCCTACATTCAATCTGTTTTGTCACCTTCATAACACTTAAATGCTTTGCCAGGTCCCTGTTGTCACCCTGTCTTATCGTATTTGAGCTTTTACTTTAGATCTCATATGTGTTCTTGCACATGACTTCAGGGTCATGTTTCAATTTAAGCAAATAGAAAATACGTTGGACCGATACCTTTATATTTTTCTTACTTTGTTTTTTCCTGGTTTCAGAAGCCTGATATTCCACATCCAAATGAAACGTCAAGAGACGTTGAAATGGAGTTGTGCAGATAATTTATTTGGAGCTTCTAGTTTCATCTCTACATGTAACCCTTGATAGTCATTGGGGAAGCTGGAAGTTGTTTCCTGCATTTTCATCACAGACCAGTCTAGCTGCTTATTTGTACATGAATGGATAGTGTCCAGTTTGTGCTTCAGGGAGGTTTATCATATGATATGCTCCTGCCATTTTTGCCTTCTGTTTACTGTCCTATTCACATTCAAATCGCTTAAGTCTCTTTTGTTACAGGATGTGTTCAGTGTATTAGTCACATCCAAGGAGGGGTTGTAGGAATACAGTATTAACACTTCTAGCACAAGAGAGAGTTAGTTACTTAGGAGGGTGACTGACATGGATTAGTGTATTGTAAAATTAAGTTTTTGATTAGTTACTATTGCAAAATTTATTCATGACAACATTGACTTTTACCTTACAATAGCTGTTTGTTTTTTTCCAGACCCTTAATAATTTAGCTTTTCTTTTTTCAGCATTGGAAATTAAAATACTTTTACTGAGGGTATAACTCTGTTTTATCTTCTGAAAGTCCTGCTTGTTCATACCACCTTTCAGTGAGCTTAGCCAAGAGAGAAAGGCTTAGATCTCTTGTAGATCTGTTTTCATCGTCAAAGCCTGTTCCTGTGTCAGTGGTCTTTGGACAACAGTGACAGTACTCCTCCCAATGCAGGCAGTTTCTTATTGAGGCTAAAGTATGTTATTTCTATACTGCATATTGTTTGCTTTTCAAAATCCTAAAATTCCACAATTAATAGTATTCTGTTGTGTATGTTGCTCTTGCCATCCATATTGTGGTTCAGTTTTAAAAAACACCTTGTGTATTTTTGGTTGTTGATCTCCCCTACCTGCAGGATAAGGAATTGCATTTTAACTGGACTTAGCTTGTATAAGATGGGGTGCTTTCTAGTGTTGCTTACATGTCCTGGAGCTACAATGCTGAATATTAAAAACACCTTCCCCCCCTTTTGTGTATATTTACATTTGTATGCAAGACACTAAAACTCTGCAGTTGGTGGAGAATGCCTCATTAGTTTATTGTTTTTTAATCTGGAACACCTTTTTTTCTAAGCGTGCTATCCACGTGTTTCTGACCTAGTAAAGTGGTAATCAGGATTCTCACTGCTAATGTGATAAATATTTTGTTAGCATTTATAGTTTTTCTATGCTTTGTTTTTGTAAGGTTTACTATTTAAAAAAAATTAACTGGGTGTTTTTTTCTGTCGTATTAGTGTGGTTCAAGTTAAATTTTTACTGACAGGTTTTTTATTGTACAGTGTGTGGAGAGTTTGTTGTACTGTTGTCTTTTGCATTGTTTGATGAGTTTGTATTAGATTGGCTGTAGATTTGATGATTAGTAAGTTAGACTTTTGTTATCATCAGATTACTTTGGCACATCTTTTCAAATGTACCAGCATTTGTTTGAAAAGGAAAAAGATAAGCACTGGTTAGTGAAGTTTCTGTTTGGGAACACAGAAGTCTGTGGCAGATAGAAAGGGCATATGAAGGCTTTTATGTTTCGATCCTATAGGAGGCTTGCATTGCATGTTGGATGCACAGTTTTGTTAGTCACCTCCATGTTTGTGTGAATACAGGACAGACAGCATTAAAGACACCTCCAAGCCCCCAGTCCCGAGTGTGAGGGAGGCAGAGCTGCTACTCAAGGGCACAGGAGTCTGCACTCTGTCAATAATTAATTTGTGAGAGCCTTATTAATTAATGAGCTGTACAGTAAAGCCTCAGTAGAACTTTTGTAATGCCTCTGAGCTGCTTGGAACGTTGTAAGTCCCAAAGCAGTCTTGTAGAAGCTCTGCAGATGGACAGTAATAATTTGGCACTTGGTTTACTGCTCCCCTGGACACTGAATTGAATTTACTGCAGTGTAATCATTTCATTGGAAGGAGAAAAATAATGACTTCTGCTCCCACAACTTCCTCCCTAGCCTGTGTTTGCTGCAGTGCTTGTCAAGAGTGTTTTGTTGACACAAATTAATCCTTATTACATACTCCTAGTGCATCTTTCTGTGTTCTTGCCAGAGTCACTACTGGTCTGTTCATTTTTCTTTTAAAATCAAGATTAATGTTGTGCTGTTCAGGGTGTTTGATTAGGTGGTGTCACACATTAGGCGTGTTTTACAGCAGTGGGGCATTGTCGTAATTGTTTGTTCTGTCCATGCATTTAAATTTTCACGTGCTTATAAATTTGGTAAATATCATAGTTTTCCATTTCTGTATGGAGAGGTTAGTGATAAAATGCTTACTGTCCTATTGGAACCAAGCTACATATTACCTTTGCAAACAATATGAATTAGATTGCTACTAATTCGTGGTTTTAAATGGATAATATAGAATTAACTGGAGTCAGATGAGGAATTGTTCAAAAGTCTTGAGTCTTGATGGGTTGCTTAGTTTGAGAAACTTGTAACAGCTGGGTTTTCCTATTGTAGGTTAATAGTTTACAGCAAGAACCGCACACTTATCCCTTACCTGGAAATCCTTTGTGTTTAGTAAAGAGTGTTTTCATTTGATCAGCATTGTGAATTTTAAAATAGTATGTTGTATATTATATATTACAAGCCATACATGTAGAAGTTACTCAGCAGGCTTTATCTGCTGCTGTTGAGCCTAGAGACATTACATTACTGGCACAATGAGCATGATTTTTTCAGATGTAGAAATGCAGTGGTTTCAAAATTAGGTTGAATAGGATTGATAAATGAAGGAAAGGGTTTCTTGTTGTGGGATTTGTATTATGTTGTTGTAGATTTCCCCCTTCTGAGTTCTAAATTTATAGGAAGTCCTTGAATATTTATTGAAAGTACCATTGTTATTGCCCTAAATTATGTAACATGATACTGAGTATTACCTGCTATGTTTCTGGAAGAAATAGCCAGGTGCTTGTGCCTGGATCATTGCAAAGTTCAAAGTTACATCAGATGTAGATGACTCAGTTGCTTGTGTACACGTGTAGAAGCCGACAGAGGTATTTATGACTAAACAGCTAATGGGTTTATAGTTTTATAAATTCTGTAATTTCTATTGTGATTTTGCTGTTGTGACCTGTACAAAAATAGTTGGGTCTTCAGAATTGCCATTTCTTAACACCTGTGTGTGTTGAACGATAAAGGTGAAATAAATATTGCATCTTTTTAAAAACCCAATTAAAAAAAAATATGCTTCTAATCTTGCGGATTCAGGTTGTAATGCTAGGAATTTGAACGGTGTAATCTGTCTGGCTGTTGTTGTGTTTTTTCACATAGGCCTGCTATATGGTTATATAAGATTCCTCCACTGTTTTTTTCCAGTTATCACGCATCTGTGAGAAAACATGCTGTGTATTCTGTTCACAAACTCATTGGCCTAGTCTTGTTTATAGTCTGTTTTGAAGTCTTTAAAAGGTTTCCACATTATCTGATCTACAGTACTGTGCAAGTTTATTAGTGCTTCCATTTTCTTGTTTATGTTTGTACCTATGAATTTAACCCACTGTAATGATCCAACGTTTGGAAAGTTATTTGGATGCCACACATTAAGTAGAGATAGGAATGCCCCCCAAAACTGTCAAAGTAACATTTTTAATTAACAAGTAACAAATTATTTTACTAAAAAACACATTAAAATGGTGGCTTTTGTCCACTACAGTGTTACAGACCATCTTGCCGGAAGGAGTTTGTAGTAATGTATAATTAGTGAATTATTAATTATAATTATATAGTGAATTGACACTATTTAAATAATCTTAATTGTGAGCCACCATAGGGTACATTTAAAGACATTTAGTGGGTATGATTTTTCTGTTGTGAAATTTTCCATCACTTGAATCTGTTTTAAACATTAACTGATTTCCAGGATTGCCTCACCAATGTCAACACTAGGAAGTGTATGTTAGTACCATCTAGGGTGTGTCCAATCCATGGTGCATGGTGTTTCTTTGTGAATGAATAACTGCTTTTTAAGATGACTTTCAGCAAACATTTGTTCAGCTTAATGGGGGGGGGGGGGGGTTGGCAGAGATAATATTTTCTTTATTAAAAGGATTTGTTAAATGTTCCAATTTCACTTATGTTCAGTGTGTCTGTGGTCTGATGCAGTCTCTTAGGGGATAGATCATCTGATACAACTGTGACAGAGCAGAAATGTTTCTGTGCTTACTAAGACTGAAAATTACAGAAGATTTATCCAGGTTTATGTCTACAATGGAACACTGATGGGGGAGAACATTTCTAATTAAATCTGCAGTCTTACATCCCTGTCTGAGTTTGTAAGGACACTCAGGAACTGTCTCTTTTCATTTGGCTCCTGATTAATTCACAGCATTGTATCCCTTTACAGGGGTAGTGTTACCTGTCGCATTTCTGTTCTTGGCTGTTCTTCCAAAGTGCAGGATCTTCTTTCTCTTTCAGATGGCCTGTACTTTAACAATCCATAGCAGATGCCTAGTAACATCTAATGTTTGGCTCACCTGTCCTCAGCACTATTGCAAAAGAAACCCATTACCCTGTTGCGCCTGTGAACTCCTGAGTTATATTTTGTGGCTTCTTGGATTTTGTTAACCTGAGATCCTGTTGTAGGATAAATGAAATATTAAAAATATAATTTTTTTTTGTATTATAACTTGTTGGAGGTTCATTCATGAAGTCCAAGTGTCTTATCGTTATACTAAGAATGGACTGTCTGAAAAGCTTCTGGCTGAAGATGTTTAATGCATGCGTGGAGATCAGTGCTAAAGGGTTCTTTGGTCTGTTTGCAATATACCTCTTTAGTGTCAAGTCCTATGGAAACAGGTCCTGTGTTGGTATAATGACCACTGGATGGTGCAGCCTTGTTAGTTGGGAAGAAAAGCCTGCTGTGGGGATGATACAGTGCTGAGTTATTAGTTTAGTGATTTATAGAAAAGCTGGTTCAGACGTTTTCTTTGTCAAAGCAGCTCTGTATAAAGACTGCTATGCATTGAGACTTAAAGAAGTCATTGTGTTGGGTCTGGAGAGCAAACAATGAATGTATCTTTGTTTTAAGTTATAATCCACTACAGACTTGTGGATTTCGTGGTCTTTTTAATTTAAACATTTACTATATTTTGTCTGTAGTTTCTTTTTGCCATCTTTTATCTTTCTGACTGGTGTTTTTAAAATTGATACTGCAGAGCAATATCTTGATAAGAGCTAAAAGATCCCTAACAAAATTACTTGGGAACTGCTGTCTCAGCAAATGTTTAAGGCTTTTTGATAACTGCTCAGAGATGGTGTAAAGTTTTCTTCACGAAGATGCATAGAAAAACTGAACGTGGCCTCTACTTCTCATTTCTTAGTTTTAAAGGTCTTGAGCACAGTTATCACTACTGAACTATCAGAATACAAATGTTTTCGGTCAGTGTTCACAGCTATATATTATATCAATGAATTATCTTTTTCTACATTACTTTTCCTTTAAGACATGGCTATGTATGATGATAAATATCATGCATGCCATTGTGTTTATATACAAGACATGAACTACATGCATCAGTATCTAAGGTTAACTAGCTTCTTTGTTGTCTCACTTGCTTTCAGGTTGTGTATTAAGGTACAGAACAATGGGGAATGTTTTTGCGAACCTGTTCAAAGGCTTGTTTGGGAAGAAGGAGATGAGGATCCTGATGGTGGGGCTAGATGCAGCAGGCAAGACCACCATCCTGTACAAACTCAAACTGGGCGAGATTGTGACCACCATCCCAACAATTGGTGAGTCCCTTTATAGTTCCTGCCTCTGTACCTAACTTTTAGTCACAGCCTGGTTAGCTGCTTTCATCGTTTTGGGCTGTTTTTGTGTATAGGTTTTAGTATGTTATGTTTTCATTTAGCTTTTCATTTCGTAATGTAAAAATAGTCCTTTTCTGCCATTTCTTAGTGCTGCATCAGGAACCTCAGCCCGAGATTAAGCTGATAGTGCATTTATTGTGAAACTTAGCGAAAGTAAAGGGCATCATGTGCATGGAGGAGGTTAGTAGTCCACACCCAACAGTATGTGTTCTAACAATGTGGACTGTGTGTCAGATCAATATATAGAAACCCAGGTAGATTCATGGTGAATCCCAGGTGACCACAGTTTACAAATGTTACTACAGTGTTGCATTTCCAACTTCCCTTGCAGGTTTTAATGTAGAAACAGTAGAATACAAAAACATCAGCTTCACAGTGTGGGACGTAGGTGGTCAAGATAAAATCCGACCTTTGTGGCGTCACTACTTCCAGAACACACAAGGTGAGTGTCCCCGGGGTTATCCTGGACAGATTTTCAAAATTAGAACTAAGTATTTTGTTATCGCCACCCAGTTTTTGTATGTTTTTTGGCCAGTTTAGTATTTTATATCTGTGCTAACGCATGCACACAGGTGAGAGCCATTAATCTTTTAGCATGTCTTGGGCACCACAGCCCTGCACAACGAGGTCGCAGGGTCTCTGAGACAGCCCTGGTTGACGAGTACCACTTAGTATTCAGCAGCCTCAGCCAGTTATGCATTGTTACTTGGGGAATCCCTGTTGGCAAGAGAAATGGCCCAGGCTCAAACCCTTGGTCATAACCTAAGTCTGCATCTGGGAGAGCACCTTTACTGGATGAGCCACGCAAGAAGCCCCAGAAACATTTTAAATACTGAAACAAGTAATACATGTTTCTTGTAATAACTTGTACATATGATTTTTTCTGGAAAATAGCTTTTAGTTACTTGCATTTAGGCTGTGTTTAGCACTCCAGTGCTTTTTATTGCCAGTTTTTCTTTTTTCAAAACCGTAAGCTCTTGGCCAAGGTGAGAGGTCCAGCCCCTTCCCTGTGGCCTTATCTCTCATTGTGCAGAAACATAAGCTCAGATTTGTAGGAGGGGCGCTTGCAGAGGTCTGCTTTCTGGTCACGAGAGCAGCCGTCTCGTCAGTTGAACCTGCCAGTGTGTCACCGGCTCTGTTGCCCTCTGATTGCAGGGCTGATCTTTGTGGTGGACAGCAATGACAGGGAGCGAGTGAATGAGGCGCGGGAGGAACTCACAAGGATGTTGGCGGAAGACGAGCTGCGGGATGCCGTGTTACTCGTTTTTGCAAACAAGCAGGTGAGCCCCCACCATCTCTCCCACCCCACCCCCCCACCTTTCGCTGCCTTCTCTTAATATCAGCCACTCGCAGTCTTGCCTGTGATCTGTAAAACAAAAATGAAAGGTAGGCATGACCAAGCTCAGATGTGTGATAATCCAAAAAGTGACATCTGTAGTCAGAACTCGTCCACGTGAAGGACAGAAGAAAAATCCCATCTTACTCATCAGATGCACGAAGATGATGGGAAAACTTGAAAAGCTGACACCCCCATTAATGAGAGACGTGACATCTAACTGCTAATTTGCCTTTATTTTACGTTCAGTCATATTGTTATAATATGCTTGTGTATCGTGATTATCGTGCATTATCACAGCTTGTTTAAAGGAGGGTCTATGGTGATACAGCAGCACACAGGGAGTCATAAATATTTTCTAAACCACTGAATGATGACAGCTGATTTAAATCCATTCTTTTAATGCATATTTTGATGATTGTCCTCATAATTTTTGTTAGTATCCTTTGCTCCCATCCCTATTAAGCCAGTTGCTCCTGTGCTGCCAGTCACATACCCAGTCTGCCACCCCCATGGTCAATGCCAGATCCACTTCACGTTGAGTCATTTTAAGGTTGGCTAACTGTTTGCTTCTCCGTGTGCAGGACTTACCGAATGCCATGAACGCTGCAGAGATCACAGACAAGCTGGGGCTCCACTCCCTTCGCCAGCGGAACTGGTATATCCAGGCGACCTGCGCAACCAGTGGAGACGGGCTCTACGAAGGGCTGGACTGGCTATCCAACCAGCTCAAGAACCAGAAATGATCCATTCCATAGTCAGTGTGAAGGGGGGCAGCACTGGCCCCAGCCTCATCTCCCCCCTCCCCCCAAACATCACGCCCCCTTGTCAACTTCCCCTCCCTCTCCCTCTGGGGCCCTGGCTAGTGCAGCCCTACACCAGAGTGTGTGTGTGAGTGTGTCTGCGTGTCTGTGAGCTGCGAGTGGGAGCAGCCCTCGTGTGCCTTACACACCTCCCGCGGAAATAGCAATTTGGCTCTCTGAGCAGCCTGGCACATTACATGTTGACTCGGACTCACCGCAGTGTGGTTTTCAGAAGGCAAAGAAAGAGCAAGGATGCATAGTGTCATCTTGAAACCTGATTTAGACCACCAGTGTTAGAATGTTCAAATAACATGCGTTTGTTCAAATGTTGGTTTGAGACCCCCTTTAAAAGTCACATTGTAACCTGTATCAGGTTGAAAAATAAAGTAAAAAAAGTGTATTTCATCCTAGATCCTTCTTTGCATCATTTGAAAATCATGCTTTTTTTTTTGCTTAACTAAGAAATCTTACATTTCTGGTTCTAGTATGAACACTACCTGTTTTTTTCCCTTTTTGTTTTAAAGACCATGAAGCACAATTCAGCAGCGGAGTAAAACTTTCCATTTAGTTGTTCAGCTTGCTTAAAATTAAAATGTCCATTTTGACACTTGATATTTCACACAGCTATTTGCTTATTTCCTTTGACCTTTTGGAAGCTTGAAGCCCACTTGTCTATCTGCCCATGATGCATGAGGAAAGGGCCGGTGTTAAGAGAATAGTGAAAAATAAGGTTGACTTCCTTTGTTTCGAACATGATGAATGGATAATGTACAGAAACACCTGCACAGGAGCGAAGATGGTTTATTCTACTGTACTGTAAGGGTAACCTGTGAGAATAATCAAAGCTACTGGGCACTCCAAATTTAAAGGTTTTAATTTGTATTACCCCTGTGTCTTGGTAGAGTGAGTGTGATACATTAATAGCTTAATTTCATGTATTACAACACATTTGCATTGCTATAATAATTTCACACTGCAACAGAAATGCTTTTGTTTAGTTGCACTAACAACTTTTTCACACTAATATATAATCTAAAACAAATGTTTGGTTGTCAGAGGTGTTAATCATTGTGGGAAATGGAAATGTGCTTTAATGCATAGCAATGCAATTATTGTAACTGCAAACTATAACCGGCTCATGCATGATTTTAATACCATGGTTCACATCACTTACAAAACACAGCCTAGAGGCTCCAGGATGGTTCATTGGGCAAAGGTTGGGTTTTGTATTCTTCCATGATGTGTTTTTACCCATGCTACATTTGTTGAGCATGGAAAGTACCGATTGTCTTGAATGCTGCTGGGTATGGGGTGGGTAGTGTTGGCTTAGGACATATTGTAACATTCACACTATTTGGCTTGGTGTCTGCATGCTATACAGGACAGGGTTGTTTATAACCTCCACTTCCTAACCAAAGCCTTGCTTTTTTTTTTGCAGTCCAGGCATGTAGTGCAAAAACTTGTTGGCGTGACAAAGCATCCATCTTCGAAAGCTTGTGTGTGGTCTCCATCTCTGCCAGGATGGTGTGGGAATTCCAGCATTTGCTGGGGTAAATGATTGGCTCTTCCAAATTTGGGGCTCTGATAGTGGGAAAACAATGGTTTCTAAATCAAGTTAATAATTTAAAGTGTGGATATCCTAACCTCTTGGATTGCATTATAGCAGTATACTTACATTAATATCTGTAAACTGCCCTCTTTTCTTGACGCCTTGCATCTTAGTGTCCTGGACACATCTGGTTACAAGTCCTCTCTGCATGATTTCTCTGTACTTTGTGTTACTTGGTTAAATGGGTTGTGGCACTTGGTGTATGCTCTTGGGTATGTAGAATAATTACAGAAGAATAGTACTACTCAACAAAGTAGAATGTAGTTAACTGTACAATTTGAGGTAGAAGGGACCTCATAAGACATTTTTTTTTTAATAAGAACCAACTCACCACATAACTTTTTAAATAAATAATTGAATAATTTATTGATCATTAGTTGTGGAAAATGCAATAATTGTCATGCTTGTTGCTGTAGGTGTATGTTTAAGCACAGCAAAGTCCGGGGACAGTGAGGCCTTTACAGAGAGCTGCTCCCATTCTGTTTACTGTTTTTGTTTGTTTTTTTTATTTTTATTTTGTACAGAGTACCTGACTCAGAGGCATCTTCTGCTGAGGATAGGTCTACAGTTGCATTGAGATGCAGAACCTTATGTCATGATACAGTGGGGGTCGGGTTGCGGTTGGTTAGGCAGTTATGGGGAAAGTGGGACTGACGCTATGATCTTATTGCAGTGCTTGTGTGTCTTGCAGAAGGGCACTATTGTGGTAGAGGGCTGGGCTAAAGAAAAAGGTTTGCTACTCTCCTTTCACATTTTCATTGTTCCAGTGATCCTATTTTTATCAAAGAATGGCCCTGTTTTTTAAGGTCTGGTGGCCATTGTTACGTAGTCTTGATTATTATCAATTCGGTATTTGACTCACACCATTGTTGTGGCACTGAAAGAATCCTCAGTTTGCTGCATCATTAGGTTCTGTAGCCCCATGTGTTACACAAGATATCTTTTAAACTTTTTGAGTTGAGCTACTTCAACTTATTGATTGTTGAAATGCTGAAAGCCACGTCACAGATAAAGCTCTAATAACTTAGTTTTAAATTATGCACGGAAAACCAAAAAAAAGTGACCTGTTACTGAGTAATTTGTATGGGGCAGTGATTATGAAACATAAGGAGATGTTAATATCTAGCACAGCCTTGAGCTGTGAAATGAAACTAGGCTCACCTACAGGTTTACGAGTTGTTGTACAGATTCTCAGGTGTGCAAGGAAACCATGTCTCTCTCGAAGCAAGAAGAGTATGCTATAGTTGCCTCATCTCCCTTCGAGCAGGTTGTCTGTTAAGTGATCTGGGCATTAGTAAAGTTAAACAAATAGCTCAGTCATTACTCTGAATTCACAAAACCACACATGTGGGATCTTGTTCAATGGTTTGAATATGATACAAATAATCCTAATAAAAAATAGACCACCTGTTAAGCTCTTTGTTTTTTACAAATCACTGTATAGTCTTTAAAAATTAGAAGGAAAATGGGTGTCCTATACAAGTGCAAAAAGGTCCTATTAGAGCATATAAAGAAATGGAATCCAATTCATTTACTCCCCATTCCTGTCCAGTGTGCTGAAATATGAGACTCATAAAGTCCATTTTCTGCTTACTAAAAGGCATGTCTAAAGAACTTTTGTATCTTCAACCTTGGATGCTCTAAGAGGGACACTTATTGGTGTAAACGGCTAGACAGTTGTATTTCATTGACAAAAAAACACCAAACCTGTATATAAATAACACAACTCAAGAATCCTCTTCTTCCTGGCCATTTACTACTTTAGATTTAATTTGTCAACTATAATGTAGCCATAGTGAAAGAAAAACAGTGATATTTTTTATCTGTAAATCATTATAAATATATAAACATTTAACTAGGCAGATTAATTTACCCTTTTTCGAATGTGAAGCTTTAAGTTTAAAAAAAATCTGTAAACATTGACATGCAAAAACAAAGATCTACATATGTATTTTTTTTCTTGAACTTTCCCTTTGGTTTTTAGTTTTGTTTTTTTTTAACCATCTTGTAACTCATCTGAGAAATGCACTATAATAAAGAGATCTCTATTACAATCAGTTGTATCATTCAAGTCATTTAGCTTTGTATTTCTTGCTAGCGAGCTAGCAGTTTCACAGGGAGCCAGTCTGGATCCTGTAGGATGGGGCTTTCATGTGGGAGGTGTGGTGGCACTGGTCAGCATCGGTGCCTTGAAGCCCTGGGTTCAGTTCCAGACCTGGGGAGCCGTCTGTGCGGAATTTGTTCTCTCCGTGTGCGTGTGTTTCCTCACACAGTCCAGAGATCTGACATGAGTGTGTGCGTGTGCCCTGTGGTGGATTGGTGTGCCATCCTGCTGCTTGCCGGGATAGGCTCTGGCACCACCAAACCCCACAGCCCTGAATCGGGAGAAGTGGGAGAAGATGGATATTTGGGAATTATATGTGAATGCAGATTAATTTGAGTGATCACATGGGTCACAGATTTCTGGATATAGTGAAGCCTTAAGTAGTTTTCTAAGTGCCCCGCCCCCCCCACAACAAAGTTTTGTCCCTTATTTCATCCAAGAAATGCTTCGATACTGAGAGGCTGACACGAGAGTCTGAATGCAACAGTGCTGTGCAGATACAAAAAAAAAACACTCCAGTGATGCTCATAACGTGTGTCAAAGGGATTTCTTTAGAAACCAGTAAAAAAGATGCAGTTTTAATTAACGCAAGGACGACGGGAGCGTACCCTGTTTGAATGAAGACCAGCCGGTTTCTGCAGGCATCGCTGAAGGCAACCTGTAAGAAACACATCACGACCTGGAAGATCTGGAAGACCGGTTTACAGCACCGCGCCAGGGCCGTCACCTCAATGCCTGACCACACAGGACCGCACTGTCGGGAGATCTGGAGTCTGCACTGAGACCGCACCTGTGCAGGAAGAGCAGCAGTGTCAGCCTACAGGCTGGTCAGGTATATCGGCTGCCAGGACGGTGTTCATTAATTCTGTAACGTCTTCATGGGGATAGCGTGACGTGTTAGATTGAAAACCCGTAACTTAAAAAAAATAATAATTCTGGTCGTATTTCCTGTGATTTTGTTCGATATCTAAATTATTTTATTTCTGTTTCTTAAATCCATTAGTCCAGAATTGACTTTATTTTGTGCGTTTATAGAATTAAAAAAAAAAACTATCTCGGAAATTCAGCTAATACTATCGACCTTGGCGTTTTGTCAGATCCCTGAATGATGCCCCCCGTTGTTAAGAGCACAGCCCCCGGGACGTGTCTGTAGCTTTGTCTCCCTCTACTGGAATTTCTTTGATCGGTATTTCACCAGGTCAAGGTTTGAGCTTTGAGGTTTGGTCAAATTGATCTATCAAGCGCGTCTGCCTGGTGTAACTCGCGCTTCGTGTCGCGAGTTCAGCGTCGCCTCCTGCTCTAGAACCTGAATTACACGAGCGATTCGGGCTCTGTTGACCGAGACATTTAAAATATATATATATATTTGTCGTTTCTCGCTCGCTAATATAAAAAAAACGCTAGGCAGCGATGCTGTCGGCTGTCTAATAAACGGATCATGGACATTTCAGGAAAATCGAGCGATTTCGACAGCAATCGACAGTCTTTGTGACTGCATAATCATATAAGATAAGACATTAACAGAGCCTTTGATGTTACTGACAAAGTCTTCAAACGGCGGAACTCGAGTGCAGTAGCGCGCAGTGAAAACCTGCCACACCTGAGGAGACCTGTGGGCTCCTCTGGGGCCCATCGTGACCCTGACACGCATCGTCTTTTTAAACGTAGACATTTGATCACTGATTTTAATGTCACTGGCTGTTTACTCAGAATCCCACTACATTTTAAAGTGCACTGCTTTCAGTTTACAATTTGGAACTTAAGTAGCCCTGGATAAAAAAACAACAACAGTATTCATATTACAGGCTCTCACTGGACGAAAATTACGGGATGTCCTGTCTGCTCTCCTGTTGCCGACTGCAGTTTTGGGAGCTGTTAATCAGCCTCATCTAGAGACAGTGATCAGTCCTTGTGGATACCAGTATAGGACAACGTTTTCCTGCGTTACCGAGCACGTAAAAAAACTGGTTCCTGCATCGACAGAATGCCTTTAGGAGTATTCCTTCTACACTCAATAACCAGAAAGTCATGTAGACCTTCATTCATGGAGTTACCGAGTGCATGTTATGCTCTAAGAATGATCAATGACGAGATCGCTGTGGTTTGTGAGACAGCAATCTCTTCTGCACCGTGTCGTGAGACTATTTTCCTTTACAATAAATCGTTGGCTTCCAAATTAAAACGATGACACTACCTTATTGAAAGGAGTTATTTAATATATATATATTAAAAGGCTTCAGCTGCGGAATCGTGCATTAAATAAATCTTGCTGTCTCCTGACTCGGGGAGTTCGCGGTTTGCGGGACAGACAATTTCCTCTGCAGGAGTGCAGTTCGTCTGTTTTCATCCCGGGCGCAATTAAACGTTCACGTTGTAATACGAATCACAATCGCGTCCTGACCCGAGAGTACCTGCCGCACACCTCATGTTACTGAGATACCGTCTGCAGCTGACGGGTAAATCACAGTAAAATGGGAGCTCTTAATTAGAAGAGTTAGTGCGCCACAGGGACGCGCTGTCTTTTCTTTTTTTTTTAAGAAAAGCGACTCCCAGGGTTGAGAATTGACTAGAAAAAACCGTCTTGGTCAAACTTCCGGAGTGGAGTGGAAGTGTGCCCATGAACCCGCACGGATGATAGCACCCTCCCCACATCACGACCCGCTTACGGGCGGCCGCCGGGGCCGGGACGGGGTCCGGTGCCGAGAGCGCGCACCCCCACCTGTCCTCGCGGGGGGGGGGCGCGCGCGCGCAGTGGCCCAGCTCACCTTGCAGGTGAGCTCAAATCCGGGGCTCCTCCCGCCAGGGCCGGAGCGCCCTTGAGCGGTGACGACAGCGGGAGAGGCCGTGTGAGCGACAGGCGGTTGTTGAGTGAGGAACAGGATCTCCCGGTTGTAGGTAATCATTATTTCCACCGTCTGCTCCGGCAGCCTTTCTCACGTTTTTCCACGGGGTAAGTTCAAGTTCTTGAAAGCGGAGGGAACAAACGTGCGTCATGTATGTTGTTTCTCGGTTCTGTTTTCTAGGACGTTACGGGAGTTCGTCAGCTGCTGCTAGGCTGTGTTTGAGCTTTAAATGGGACAGTAAGATGCTGTTAGCTGACGAGAGAGCGTATCTCCTTTCTTCCTTGTAGGAGACAATGAGAACTTGAGATGGCGTACTATCCTATCCGTTTTTTTTTACTCGCGTCTTGGCTTCAAATTAGCTGTTTTCTTATCGTTTCTGTGTCATTTTGACTACGAGCTTCTGTGGTGATCTGCTGTCTTTTAAATCCTTGGTTACAGTGACTCGGGGCTGCACCGACCGGTCAAGTGTTAGATTCGAAGTGCTCCACACAGGGATAAACTCGTATTTTAATCCTTAGAGTTGTGGACGTTTTTTTTTCTCCTTTAATCTGTGTTTTTGGAGCCTTCATGCTGTTTCCTTAGCGGTTGTTTGTCGATGTACGGAGAAGAGATGCACGCTGTGAAAGCATGCCTCTACAGATTCAAACACTCTTGATGCAAAAAAAAAAATCCTTGATCAGAGTAGAACAGACAAGTTTAGGTAGGGGTGTACCTCTTTGTCAAAGTTTAATTGCAGTGTTTTAAAGTGATTTGAGAGGCTCGTCTATTGGAAAAGTTAAATAGAAATTCCAACTGTTTGATGGCTTTTAAATTTGAAATCCACTTAAAGCTATAAAAAGGCGGAAACCAATCCAGAAGGAGGTTTTTTTACCCGGTTGCTTGCATGTTCATGTGCCTGAAGAGACGAGCTTGTGGAAGCTACCAGAAGTGAGCTGTTCTGAAAGCAGAAAGGGACAGAAAGATTAAGAACAGGCCATCCGTGAGCAGCGAGTGGGAGAACTCTGGGGAGGAAGCACGCAGAAGTGATTAGATGCCAGCCGTTGGTGGCTGCGCACTTGAAGCGATTAAGGGCGTAAAGGTAAGAGGCAAAGCGAAACGTTGTGAAGCAGAGAACAGATGTCTTCTGCTGAAAGCATGGTGGGGTTCCTGAGCAAGCTGCCCATCCTTCTTGCTCGAGGGAACACCCTGGCCTGCTCGGAGAAGCAGATGGATGAAATCACGGTGTCACTCTCCTGCTCGCAGCTGTCCTTGCTGGATGGGCAGAAGGGCCTCATCGCTGTAACGTTTCTTTTCTTCCTGCAAGAGGAAGGCCGCTCCGTAACGCACGGTGAGCGGGCCGTCTTCACGCGGTTGTGCTTGCAGGCGCCTAAGGGAACGTTGAATGTTAAAACGTCCTGCATAAACGGGACCTTGCTTCAAGTGCTGCCTTCACCTGCCCCCAGAGGGGTCCCCGTTCAGTCCTGCCTTGAGCAGCGAGGTTGTGCCCTTTGTGTTCGGCGCTGCTTTCGAGGTGCAGGCTGAGGGGGGGGCGAGCTTTCATCCCGGTCCGTGGCGCGCGCCGAAGCTGTCGACACAGGTGTGTGTTTTTGATCCCCAAGGAAGGCACGTGCCGGAGTGCCAAGATGAAGGCCCAGAGCTCGCAGCTGTCCAAGGAACGGATGCTTCCCGAGTCCTTGGCCTTGAAAATGTGCTCTTCTTTCAGGTTTCTTCAAAGGAAACTTTGAACTTTAACTGTCCTGAAGCACAAGTGCAGTTTACGTTGTTTTTTTTTTTTTTTAAACGAAGACACCGTGCATAAGTCTTGGGATTTTGTCTGCTCCCACGAAATAGGTCAGAGGCCCAGTCTGATTTCTTCAGGTTCCTGTGCTGTGGAAGGTGTCTTCAGTTAGTGTACAGCTGATTTCTCATCTGGTCAATGGTTGTCTGATCTCCCAGCTCTCTGTCTAGCTCCTCTCGCATTGCGTGAGTGACATGGGGGGCAGTCGATGTGTCAGTGGGCCGAGGCGCTAGGCCAGCCAGCCGGGCTGCTCTCTCTCTCGCTCGCCCGACTCTTCCTGCTGCTGCATGCTGCATGCTCGTCCATTTTCTGAACGTTGTGCTCTCCATCCTCATTCTGCAGCCCACTTGCATCTGAAAACGAGTGCGTACAGCTGCACATTGTAAATCTGTATTCAAATCCATACTTTTTAGAACTGACTGTTCTCATCATTGTGCTTTAAAACCAGATCAGGAGAAACTATGTTACACAAATGGTTGTGTGAGTTGGGAATGAACTACCCAGACGTGTTGATACTGATACTCTGGCTTCTTTTAAGAGCCAATTGGTAGAGTGCCTCAGATCAGCTATTCGCAGCCATATGATTTTGATAGGGAAGATGGACCCCTCTCATTTGTAACCTAACTTATGTTCTTACAGAGGGCCGTAACAGGTTGACCACTTTGAGTGGAATCTGGCAAGGACATTTCTGGACCTTCTAAGGACAGGATAACCAGAAGACATGAGAATCTCTTCACCCCAAGTCTGAAAATTGTTAATATTCTCTGACTATATTAGAAGTGGATCTGTTAGTCTGAATCTTTGAATATAAGATAAGATCACTTTATTGGCCATATACAATTTATTGAAGTAGGAATTGGTCTTTTTTTGCCCCAACTTGCTCTCCATGAGACACACAGACAAAGAGAAGCTTGGGGTCAGAGTGCAGGGTCAGCCGTTTATACGGCGCCCCTGGAGCAGTTGGGCCCCTGAGCAAGGCCCTTAACCCCAACGGAGTAGGATTCCTCTGCTGGTTGCAGGGTTCGTACCGGCAACCTTCCAGCCACAGGTGCAGATCCTTAGCCCCAGAACATACAGTAGCATTATTTGCAGTTAAACCTGAAACCAAATTTGGGGTACATGTTGAGAGGGGTTTCTTGAGAAGGGGTCCCCCAGCCAGGAAATGTTGCCCACCCCTGTCCTTGAGGTTGTGTGGAGGGAGTGTTTTCTGCATGAGGCAGGCTGGGAGTTTCAGCGAGGCGTGCTGATAGTGAGTCAGTGGCCAGGGGTGAGTGAGAGTGCATTGTCTTAGTCTAAGCCATGTTTCATGTCCACACAAAGAGCAGGTTGTACAGCAACAGCTGCTGTCGATTCCACACAACTGAGCTCATCGCACGTACTGATGACGGCAAACAGAAATGACTAAAAAAACACCTCTGCTGTTGCAAAACTATTATTTCCCTTAAGTCAACCTTGCACCTGAAGTGTAAATACAATATTAAATTACTGATGCCAGTAATTACCAGTAAATTATTCTTACTCACTTCAGTGACTGGAAAGAATGCTCTTTGTCACAGTAATTATTAAGTTTCAGTTACTGAACAAATAAAGTTAAGCAGTCTTAAAACAAAAAAACAAGCTTCTGTAATCTTGGTGTCTCCTGGTGATTTCTCAGTGTTAACTGGGGTAACAAGCTGCTACACCAGCAGGAAATTCCCTAAGGCAAATTAAAGTATTCCAGCAGTAGAAATCTATTGTCATCATATCGTGCGTGAATTTATACTCTTGTGTGGGGGTGGTTTTTGGGGGCCTGCTGTGTTTGCTGAAAATTCCAGAATGTAACATGGAAAGCATTTTTTGCTGTTTTATGACTGAGAAAACAAATTACCCTTTTTGGAAGATCCTGCAACACTTCGTTGTTCTTTTTATTTTTAAAGAAAGGTTAATTAGTTAAGAGTGGTTGAGGTTTTGATATATGTCTGCGGAAGAGTAAATTCGTTGCAGTCTGTAATAAGTTGGGGGGGGGAACCCAGTTTCTTCAGTCCACTTTAGGTTAGTGCAGTTGTGATGGTCCCCCTGCAGAGTGCAGCAAAGGGTGATGAGGCTGTATTGCTGGACTGTGCAGAGAGATGTGCCTGAAGGCAGCTGTCCAGCAGAAACCACGACCAGTGCCACTAGACACTTTAACACTCGTTGTCGGTAAATGCACTTTTATACTTACAAAAACCTCTCTTTGTGCTCCGAGGCTACGGCTGCTGGTTCTGCTTGCCAGTGACAGGGCAGAGGAGGAGATGTTGTGCCTTTGCCTTGTCCGTATTGCTCCAGCCCCTGCTTTTGTAGTTTACTCCTCAAAGCACTCTGAACACGGACCACCCTGCAGCCCTGCACCAGAAGCATGAGGGAGCTTAGCGCTGGCAATGCGTGGATCACATTTGTGGAATAAAAATAGCGTATGAATAACGTCAGCACAAGTGTTAAGACCATCAAGTTCAGGCAGAGCATGGAGAAGACTGGGGGGGTCTGTGCACGTGGTGCTATAAAGAGCAGACAAAGGTCACTCAACCTTCCATGTTGTGCTGTGAGGCATGGGGAGAAATCGCTCTGAACCCCCCCCTGGCACTGCGAGGCCTGGTGAAATCGAGGTAACCTGAGGACAGGGGTGAAAGCTGAAACTGGTGCTGTTGTCATCATTGCGCTCATGACACATTAACAATAACAGGCTGGTGTATCTCGGGAAGCGGGGCAGAATTAAAAATAGATGCCATTTGCTCCTAGTATCTATTTGTTCCCGAAAGCACGTGGTGTTCCGGCAGCGGAGTCTAGAGAAAAGCAGCTCGTGCCAGTGCAGCGCAGCAGACCTGTCCAGACTGTGACGAGCAACATGCCCTACAGTTTCTGCTGCAACAAGGTGCCGGGCGCTTCAGGGCAGTTCTCTCAACGCCTCCTTTTTTTATAATGGACCGGCAAGGTGAATGTCGGGCTCCAGAGTGAAAACTGCAGAAAAGGTAGGATGACTCCAATGTTTAGAGCTCGGTCTTCCTTAGTGTATGGTGACAAGTTCTATACTTTCATTTATGCATACATGTTGCAATAGCATTCAAGAGTAAAACAGCGTAGTGCCTTATTCATTAACATTAAGGAGCTTACTCTTTTTGAGTAAGAACTGCAAGGGAGACATGTTTAATGTTGTTCTGCCCTTGCAAAGCTGTGCTGTGACCTGTTGATTCTCCACTGTGACACTGCTCAGGTGAGCCGTCTTGGTAGTGCTGCGTCTGTTGTTTTCAGTGGTGTGGCCTGGCTGTGGTACAAGACTTCTTAGATGGGCAGGAAAAACTCAGACGAGTTGCAGGCTACAGGTGTCCAAAGAACCTTGCGACCATCTGCAAGAAGCCTTTGGATTTCTGAATGGTTTGAGAAGGGAGAGAGATGATGATCCTGCTGGTCAGTGAGCCAAAAGGTGTGTTTTTGTTGGGCATCTGACCAATCGCCTTACTCATCTAGCTGTCCTGTCACTCAAAAGGTCAGTCGGTCACTTCACGTGAATCACTGAGTGCCGATAATCCTTGATTTGCTGTGTCACTGCTGCCTGTGGTACAGGCTGCTTTCTGAACCCTACACGTTTCACAGAAGACCCCTTAAAAGCAGAGCTTCCCTGAGACTCTGCCTCCCTTGCGTACTTGCCTAGTTTTCTTACTCGGCAGTGTCCCCTTCTATACAGCATCACCATCGCTTCGTCTTTCCCACGCTTTTAAAAAGTTGTGTGTTTGGGATCTAGAATGTGTCATGGGTGCTGCTGATAAAGATTCCCTGCAGAGTTTTTGGTGCAGGTTAAAGGGGAGCTGCAAAGCTCTTTTCATATCTGGGGGTTAGAAAGAATCAGCATTGAGTACATTTCAAACCACAATAAAACTAAAATGTACACAGTGACTTGTAAAACCTCCACTTTACATCCCAAAACAGATGAAAGTCCCAGGTATGTGCAGCGCCATGTTCTGTGATTCAGAACGAAGTTGTAGACAACCAGGCTTGTGAATACATCTCTTTTAATCCAGCAGAAGTATTGTTTTCTATTTCATCATGGTTTTGCCTAAAAATACTACTTGGTTGTTAACCCTGCATGCAGATCACGTTGGAAGATTCTTGTGGTGAAATGCCTGCTGTTTTATTCTCTCGTACGTCACGTTAGTCGTTATGATTCAGCCCTGCCTGCCCGTGTCGCTGGTCGAGGGAACTCGAATGCGATCTTGCGACTTGGCGACTTGCAGTACTTTCACAAAATTCCCGATAATAGGCTTAATTTGAAATTTGTAGGTTTTACTATAACGTCAATGAATTTAGTTTAAAGCAATGTAATAACCAGTCTGAGCAGCTGGGCCTGTGGTTTCTCTCTAAGTGTTATTTGCACAAGTTTCTAATAGTGGGTGACAGATCAGCCCGTTTCATGGAACCGAGTGGCCGCAGAGAAACGTCACCACATATAGTTCAGGGTAGCGAACAGCTAAGGCAGTGACTGTCGAAGCCCCCCCCTCGTCTTCGGTCCCTGCCGATAGATGAGGGCGGTTGTTAGCTTTTCTTTCTCCTGTAAACTGCACGTTGGGGAGACCTTGGTACGCTCAGGCCGCAAGGTTTCGCAAGTCGCCCCGTGCGGCTCATACCTTCTCAAACACGAGCCTGTATAAAAAACAGGCTTGGTCCCCAGCAGTGTTAGCACAGTCTGGAACGAACAATGGCTCTTTGTGGAGACAGGAAGCATAATACTCTTCTCGGCTACCCTGCTCCAGTTCCAGGAACTTGTCATCCAAGCATTACAGCAATTGCCTCACGTTAGCTTACCTAATCTAGGCAATTTGTTTTGTTTCAAGACCATGCAAACTGCTCACATTCTTTGTCTAGCGCAACGGCACGTTGTTTCCTGTGCAGTAACACTGGGGGATAGTTGAGGCTACACAACCTATCCCAGCTGGAAGGGGCTAGAGGCACTGCCCAGTGCAGCAGGTGAATAAAAAAGGCCTTGTAAATTGTATGTGCACTGTTTTTAGGTAGCTTGCCAGCATAGGATACCTCTTGTTTTCTCTGCCTCCCAAGTGCTTTAATGCTTCTCTGAGAGAAATTGGGAGGGCGACTGCATTTGCACAGCAAGAACAGCAATCGGCCCACTTGAAAAGGCACAAAAGGAACGTAAGTGCTTTCATTAACTGGCTCACACAAAAGATTGAGGCATGCACTGCAGCACGTGCCGATCCAAGAAACAGCTGGACACATGCACACCCACACGTAGCTACAACACGCGCTGACAAACAGAAGTGTGCAGAGAGAGAGAGAGACCTTCACCCAAACAACCACTCTTATTGTATCTCTGAAGGAGTTCACTGCCAACAAGAGGATAGATGTGCATGAAGTTATGTTGTTGTTGCTCCCAGTCTTGGGATCTTGAGCTAATCTGCCATAACATCATAACAACCACTATGCAAGAATAGTGTCAAGTAGGTAGAACTGCGCAAACTATTTATTGCACATAATTAGTGAATAACTCAGAGCCAGGGTGCCAATATGTCTAGAGCTGTAACCTGGAGTGTCGAGTCATATCACATATATCTAGTTTGCTCTTAATGGAAAACTGTACACAGAAAGGACAAATTTAGTTTTGCAACACTTTTCTTTAATGTCTAGGAACCAATGCTACAGTATGTCTGTAGAAAGGGTACTTTGTACCTGCATTAAGGAAGGAACAGAAGTTCTTTTCAGGACTGACCATGTTTTTGTTGGTTGGTGTGAAGGTGAATCTTATTCTGCTTATCAATGAGGTATCGCCAATTAACTGAGTTTTCATCCTGTTAATATGGAATAAAGTGCAGGTATTAACTTCAGCCCACACAATCACAACCCCTTGTTGACACACAGATGTTCCCCTGCAGACATATGACAATTGCATGACAGGCTTGTGCGCAGAAACACGCACACACAAACATGATAGGCTGAAAAACTGGTTTTGTTATTTTATTATTGTGCTTTTATAAGTGCAAGAGGGCAGGCTCGTTCCTGGGTAGCTAAATGTAGAAAATCCTCAGTCGATCTTGTGCTGCTGCTGCTGTTACAGGTTTGTGATGAGTGCAAGATGTTTGTCATGAGCAGCCATCTGAAGGATACTCCCAGTGATGTGCTGCAAGAGTGCAGACGTCTATGTAATCTTTCTTCTCTGAATGTTTAACGCTGCACATGGGTAAATAATAAATTAGGTTTTCAGGTTGAATTTGAAAGCACTGCTGGAGTCCTAAGCAGGGAGTGTTGCACAGTCTTGGTGCATGAGCAGTGTGTGTCAGAAGGTCATGTCATCCTACTAGAAGCCTAGACAGTGTCGTATTCCCCTGCGGCAGGAGACCCAGCCTTTTCACTGTCTAGGGAGCTATGTGACTGAGCCTGCGAGCAACAGTGATCAGATATGGACAGTGGCAGAACAGAGGCACACCGGACATGAATATTGTCCATGGTCTTCTCTGCCTCTACAGTAGTAGCTGTGGAAAGCTCCTCAATAAGCGCAGCTCAGGGTGGTAAATTGTAAGAGTAGATCAGTAACTAAGCCTGGCTGTGATCCACAAGTGTAAAAATGAACCTGCCCAAATGTCTTGGGGGTTTTGCTATCGCCCACAGAGGATGCTATGGAGAACGAGGGGCCACCACGAGGAGTCTGCAAGGAGATGGACAGACAGGGGGATGATGGGATGAATGGACAGGAGGCTCACCCCAGTGGTGCTCTGAGCCCCGAGACAGACGACTTTCCCAGCCCCAAGACCACCAATCCCCCCACTGTGAAACGCTCTCAGCCACTCGGAATAAGTAACGGCAGGTACTACTATGGATTCACAGCTATGTATCAATGGGTTGAACAAAAGAAGTGATACCCACCTTTCAGGTGGAAATGTTTTCTCTCAAGGTGCTGTTACTAAGACATTAGGTTATTGGACGGCCCTTTTTTACAGTCAGCACTAATTACTCTGTACGTGTCCTTACGGAGTTCTTAATGCTGTGCGTTCAGATTGTTTATTTTAGTACTGTATATATTGCTTTTACAAGCTAAGAAATCCTATTTAATAGCAGCTTCGTGCTGTTGGTTGTTGAACTACAGAAAATATATCAATCTTCTTCCAGATCCAAAGGGGAGGAGTCAAAGACCATATCATTGCCTTCAATACCCAATCCCTTCCCAGAACTCTGTAGTCCCTCCAACTCCCCAATCCTGATTGGCACACCACTGGGAAAGGGCACGCCTCCTTCGGGCAACACACATGTAAGTGAGATTGATTGCGGTGAGCGGGTCTCTTTTCTGATGTCAAAACGAGTTGATGACAAATACCCATCTTCTGCTGTAGTCAAGCAGCCAGTTCCCCACCACAGATTAGGAATCACGTTTGTGAGATTGAAGGAGTTTTCACACCGAATAGGAATGCACGCCAAGATGTCAGCCAAGAGCTAATTGATCTTACATTTTGCTTCTTTCAAGAACCAACTGGATTGGCTTCAGAAACATGGCTGGGGTAGCTCACTCCATACTCCTGCAGCCCTTTGAGCGAAGCACCTCCTTTTCTCACTTTTAAGTGCTCTTTCATGCAGTTTCTATAGCGGCGCTCTCCCTCAACAAGCATTGTTCGGAACAAGCCGGAACGTGGGATTTTTTAAAAAAAAGATGGGGAGAAACCCAGACGTACGTGATGGTGTTCGTCACGGGCTGCCGGCCGTGTTTTCAGCGGTGCGTTTCCCAGCATGCCCTGGTCTTGGCAGCGCCTTGGTTGTTGACACAGTTGTGGAGGTGCAGACGGCGGTGTGGCGCTCTGGTATGCGATGGCGTGTCGTGTGCGCCGTCGCTTGGAATGCCTTCTCCTGGGGCCATTGTCACTCCAGAGACAGGCGCTTTGTGCTCCACTGTAATTAAGTGCTCCTCTTGACGAGCTGTCAGTGGCACTGCTGTGTGCGCGCCAGCAGCCAGCCTCCTGCCCCAGGCTGTTTCAGCTTCTTCCAGGCTGCACGGCACTCCACTCGGCTAGAGCAGATCCACTGCACACCTGCAACTGCAACATGACACACGCGCTCTCATCCATGTTCAGAAACAATGGCTGCGTGTTGGATCTGCGTTCGTCTTTAGTTTACCCCTTTTCAAGAACTATTAAACCAAAGTTTTGGGTGTCCTTTGGGGGGGACCTGTCTGGCTACAACTTTATACTCGCCTGCACAGAATGACGTTTGAGTGTGTGCCGGGTTCTTTCGGATCTCCGACTGCGCTAATAAACCTTGCATCGGTGCTCTGTAAAGGAGAAGCAAATGAGCTCGGATCTGCGCGTGCGCTGCTGCAGTCTGAACTGTGCACAAGTTTCTTACAGAGCAGTGTAGCACGTCCACACCTCAGGAGCGATGAACGTTTATGGTTCTCTTGAAGTGCAGTAATATTAAAAGATGGATATTCCAGCGGTAAAGCACATAGGAAGGGTGCTTTTGAAAATAGACTGGTATATTTCCTGATTTTTATGTTCCAGGGCAGAATTTTCTCCTAATAAAAACATCATTAGGTGATTTAAAACAGGCTGCGTTTTGAAAGTGACCCTGTAGGTTTCGTTAATGAAGGCTCATTTCACCTGAGCATTGTAATAGCACTTCACCCACTGGGATTGAGACGCTGGAAAAAAAAACATTCCCCGATGTGGAGTAATTCTCTGCAGTTGGTAATATAAATGTGATTGCCCCCATTTCTTATACATCTTTGAAGCACTAAGAGTTTTAAAGGACCCTGCTGTCATGGGAGTCATTTGCTGTGCCAACCACCAATTTAGACAAAACATGTCTGAAAACAGAGCAGTATAGAGAGGAAGTCAAGTAGTGTTCACAGTGTAGTAAGGCCTAGCGAAGACCAGGCCTTCTCCATGCTTTTTCTTAACATTGCTTTTAGTGGGCAGTTCTTCTGGCATTATTTCAGAAAATCCCAATGGGATCACAATAGGAAGTGATCCAATTGAGCCATGAAGCTGAAATATTAAGACTACAACCCGAGCAAAAATCTCCATTCCCTTGTGCAGTTCGGACTAGTGGACAGCCTGCTAGCCCTTGGTGTGGGGAGGGCATACTCATGGCTGCAGATGGTTTTGTACTCCAAAGGTCTAACACCCTTACACTGGGGCAGTGGGAGAATCTGCCATACAGTACGTCTCCTGAGGCTCCTGCTTTAATGAAATCACATGCTGAACCTGCGTCTCTTTCAGCTGCACGTATACTGAACAATTACCTGGTTCAGGTACCTGCCGACTCCTCCCTGTGTCCACAGAAACTACCTTCAAAACCACAAACCTCCATCTGGGGGTGGGAAGCAGAGTTAGAAGGCAAGAGATTAAGAAGAGTTGCAATAAATTTTTCCGTTTGTTAGCTGACTCTTTGTTGGCACGGGTTACTCTTGTTTGTGCCTTCGCTGTGCCTGTGGTATTTTTTGCGTCTGTAAGGGCTATTGTGATCCAATTACTTTAAACCCCGTTTGAATAGCATTGAGGATATCGCTCTGCATGTGCGCGTCTCTGCATGCCTTTGTTTTGCTGGCATTGGCCTGTGTTCGGTTTCTTAGGTTTCTCTTTACTGGCGGAGATTTTGCACGTCTGACCAGGTGCTGCGAGGGCGCAGGCGTACCTGACCAGCTCGCTGTCTGTGCGTCCCTCTAGGTGGTGAAGGTGTTCGGCGAGGACGGGAGGAGCCGGTCTCTCTGGGTTCCCGCGGCGACCACGGCTCGGGACGTCTGCAGCCTGCTTGTCCAGAGGGCTCACTGCACTGACCAGGAGAGCTGGGCCCTCATAGAGCTGCACCCTTCCCTGGGGCTGGGTGAGACAGCGCCACAGCACCGTCGGCAGGGGAGGGGAGGGGAGAGGCAGGGTATGGAGTTCAGATCTGCGACGTTGGCATGATAGTGCTTTCAGGAGAACAAGAAACATTGGGGCTGTAGATGAAGTAGGACAGAGGATGGCACAGAAGGCGTGCGTACAGGGGGCCAGTCGTAAAAATGTCCGAGATGGGAGGAAAGGGAATAGGAAAAGTGAAAGGAGGGAAGGGCTGTCCTCCGGGGAGGTGTGTGGTCGTGTGAGCTCATTCTGCCCCCCACAGTGTACTGATGGCTGTCCCAATCCTTCCACAGAGCGCTGTCTGGAGGACCATGAAACAGTGGTGGAAGTGCAGGCCACCTGGCCTCTGGAGGGCGATAGCAAGCTGCTCTTCCGGAAGAACTACGCCAAGTATGAGTTCTTCAAGAAGCCCATGGTACGGCAGCCTCCCTATCGGAGCTTGTGCTTGTTTTTCCTCTTGCATAAACGTCTAATTCCTGTATTAGTGAAATTGTCCGTGTGCAATTGATAGTTACCATTGTTTTCAGGATTTCAGAATTTAAGGGTTTAAAGATGCATAAAAAGTCCTGCCGGAGACTGAACCTCTAGCATGAGGACTGGCCGTCGGTGGTATAAACTGTGATGCTGCCCTGTCCTGCAACCCTTTTTCATGCGTTTATGATGGTTTTCTTGTGTGTCCCTTGTTCTCCAGCTCTTCTTCCCAGAGAACATGATTTCTGACTGCACAGATGTGAACAAGGGCATGACCTCGTCAGAGCTCATCCAGGTGAGAGCTCTGGGTGTGGGGTGGAGTCAGGGGGATACGGGAGAGGGAGGATGAAGGGGGAGGGGTGATACCGGACATTAATCTGCAGTCACGTGCATCTCCAACTCTTCTTGCAGAACCTGCTGAACTCGGGTAGCTGTCCAGAGATCCAGGGTCCTCTGCAGGTCAGGGAGCCCGGGCGCAAGGCCTGGAAGAGAGTCTACTTCTTCCTGCGGAAGTCTGGCCTCTACTGTTCCACAAAGGGTTCCTCCAAGGTCAGGCACCAGGCAGGACAACCTCAGGGGTCCTCAGGTGTACAGAACTGCACCTTCAGAAAGGCAAACGTTGCAGAACCTGTCTTCAGGGATGTGTAGCAAGTTCTGCACTAAGCTCAATGATCTTCAGCTAGAAGCTGCAGCAACGTTGCCTTTCATTAGGTACAAGACGGAATTTGATTAACTTACAGCAAACGTGAAATTCATTTTGTCTGCCTGCATGGTAGCTTATACTATTTCAGCAGGTGAAGCACAAAGAAAGCCAGTGACTTACAGTGTTTCTCAGGTAAGTAACGGATATAAACAAGTGTGAGTAGGTGGCTGTGTCAGCGTGTGTAGGCTGCAAAGGAATATATAAATGTTTATTCCATGCTGAAACGAAAAGACAACTTTTGGCTTTGGAACCTTCTTAAGATTCAGACACCTGAAGTAGGATCTACAGCCAAAATGTTGTCTCTATCATTTCAGCACAGAATAAACCTTTACCTGTTCCTGTAAGATATAAAGCCTAGTTTGCACACTCGTGTCTGCCTGTGAGACTCTCTATTCTACCATCCCTGTAAGTTTCTCCTTCTGGTGTGCTCAGTTGAACTTGGGTGGAAGATTGTGTTGTTTGGTATAAAATGCAGTGGTCTGTAATGGCTGAAGCCAGGGAGTGCCTGACTGGGAGATGTTCTTCAAACCCTTGTCTCTCAGGAGCCGCGGCACCTGCAGTACGTGGCTGATCTTGAAGAGCTCAACATCTATGGTGTCACTCACGGCCGGAAGCTGTACAGCGCCCCCACCGACTTCACTTTCTGCGTTAAGGTACAGTGGCCTGGGTCTGGTCCCCCTGGGGGGGCTTCCCTCTAGGTGCTGTAGAGCACTGAAAAGCACTTTGCTCAAGTAGCAGCTGGACCGCGTGAAACTCCTGAAGGGCAGGAGTCATTGAAACGCAGTTCCACCACGGAGTGAATTTGGCCCCAGGAGTTGATTTAAGCCTTTCCAGCTTGGGCTTTTCATGCTCAAGGAGGAGTATATCTTAGAAACAAATTCAGTATCTCGTCTAAGCAGTCAAGGCTGTTTTTTTCCAAGCTGACTTCTCTCAAAGTGGTGGGCAGAGCCATTTATTGAATTACTTAGTGAGTCTGTTCTGTCGCCTTCGTACGAATCTGAAATGTATCCACGATTTGTATACTGATGCACAAGTTTTGTTTATTACGGATTATTTTAAAACGGCAGACTGGGTGAAGGGAGAAATTCCTACACTAATTGAATTAAAGGGAAACCTTTTAAGTAGACTGGTTCGCACGAGAGGGGAATCTGGCTAGAACACCACTTGAATATGTCATGTGAAGAACAGTTCCTCCTACATCGGCGTTCCTGCCTAATTGCACACTGCGTAATTATTACACATAACTGCTCACACACTTGGCTCTTGAGAAACTGAAGATTTATACTCCAAGTACAGGTGGTTGTAATAATAAGCTTGTCTTCCTTTTAGGCTAAACTGGGGGCCATCAGAATTAAAGCAAAGCAATATTAATATTAATTAACAACAGGAGAAATATGCATGCCACAAAAATCCAAAATAAAGATCTTTTTGAAAAAAAAAGAAATTCTGATCCAAATGTACTCGTGTAAAGTCACTGTAGGGGTCTTGGATCATGTAGGCTGGTTTCCACCGTGCAAGCTTTGAGGAGCAACGTGCACACTCGCAAGATTTGATCACAGTCAGTGTGGGAGTTGTTCATACTTTTAAGAAAATGATCAAACCTGAGTGTTCATGGGGAGACCAGTTTGATTCAGGAGTTGCAAGAACAATCTAAAAGTGCTTAGTGATTTGTTTTGTATGAAAGTAACCTTTTATATGCCACAGTTTTCTTAGTCTGTTAAACATATTTAATTGCCTTTTTTTATTCTAGTGTTAAAGACCGCGCACGATCCCAAATTCCTGTTGTGTGCATTTGAGGGGCTGCTTTCGATGTAGCTGGATCCCATGAGCGCGGGGGGTTCTAGCCCTGCTACAGGGGCTCTCGCACTGGCAGGATCAATAATAGGATTGATTTGAAGTCTTTAGCTGTTCTTCCTTCCTTAACGCTTTTGGAGGTCACTCCCTAACCGTCTTGGTTTCTGGGTAGGAGAACGATTCCAATCAAGCTTCTTATTCGAGTCCCAGACTGGATTAAGTGTAGAGCTTGGTTGGAACAGAAAGCAGTGGACATGGGAGGGCCCCCCAGGACGGGGATGGGAGCCCCCTTGTCTCAGTGTCCTGCTTGGGGGGGACCGTGCTGACATGCCCGCTGTCCTCTGCCCTGGCAGCCCTGCCGGAACCGCGCCCGCTCTCGGGATATGAAGCTGCTGTGTGCAGAGAGTGAGCAGATGCGCACCTGCTGGACCACCGCCTTCAGGCTGTTTAAGGTGAGCGTTGTGCACGTGGCCTGCTCACGCCGGGGGGCTGCCAGTGTCCACCGGCCTATTCGGGGGCCATACAACAGCGGGGAGTTACTGTGAGTTTTGCTCAGACCTCTGTCTGTGCAGTGACTTCAGTTGCACTTAAAATGGGAGCAGGAATAGGGGGTGAATGTTCCCATGGCCAAGGTAGGCATGCTTCAGAGTGTGAACCCAAGGTCTGGCTTAGTTGTCAGCAAGGATATGGCACTTCACAGCATGCAATGTTGCGATCTATCAATCCACAGTCCTACTTGCACCTTCTCCATCTTTTGTCTTGAGTGTTAATGTGCCGGGTCTTTTTCAACCGATGCCAATCTAGAGTGTGTGTTTTGCAGTACGGCAAGCAGCTCCACTGTAACTACCAGCGGTCTCTGTCCACGTGCAACCAGGAGAACACTCTGCGTCAGAGTGCCAAGGTGAGACCTGCCGGGCCGGCCGCCCTGAGCTCCACAGCAGCAGCAAAATCTGCTCTGCAGCTTTATGCCAATGGAACCTGCCATCGTCAACACGGTTGGGTATTAATGGACAAAAGGCATACCGTATATGCATATATACCCACTGGCTGAGGGATTGGGAATCCTCATTGGATAACACGTTGGGCTTTTGCCAATATCCAACAAGATGGGAGTAACCATCTGACTTGGAGTTCCTGGTATTTTGTCAATTTAACCTTTATTTCTACATAAGCAATCTTAAATTTGACATAAACGTTGAATAATGTCTTTTGCGCTGTGTGAGAAATAAAAGCAGTACAAACTGCCGACCACAATTCAAATGCCTTAAGGCTAGAATGTGGTACGGAGGAGTTCTGTATTAATGTAAGTGCACACACAGTCGCATAAAATATCAATGGTAAGATCTAAACTAAAACTCTATACAGTATGTTCATACTACTGGGCATAACTTTTTAACCTTTTTCAACAAACAAAGGAAGTTTCCTGTATCCAGATACTAATACAATATTAATGAAATGTTGCTTTTGCATTTTATTTGCATGTGATTTAAGCTTTTTTTCCCCTTTGACTTCACACACCCACACTATCCTCACCGTAGACAGGCCCTCCACTTCATTCATTCTCCGATATTCATGCTTGCTAGGTGCATGTATTTACCTCTACCAACCCCCCAGCATGGCCTGCTCACTACGTGTCTGGGAGTATTTTAAAACACTTGCTTCTTCTATCGCATAGCCATATTGTGCATGTACCAACAGCACAGACAGGTGCCCTGGGTCACTGGTGGGACTGGATTTATTGACGATCTGCATAAAGCAGGGATCTGAGTCGCTTCTCAAAACTCAAGAGGCTTGCAAGTGTAAGAAAAAAAAAACAAGCTGCGGACATCCACTGCTGGTGTTTTCTCCCTACATGACAAGGTGCAATTACACTGCTCGGTTGTAGTGGCCTTCCTGCTCCACGCTTCACTGTTTTTTTCTCCGTCCCCAGCGGTGTGTGTCGGAGGCCTCTCTGGTTGCCATGGATTTCTCGGGGAAGGCGGGGGGGCGCGTCATCGAGAATCCCAGGGAAGCGCAGAGCGCCGAGCAGGAGGAGGGACAGGCCTGGAGGGTGAGGAGGGGGATGAGGAAAGGGAGGGGGAGGGTGGGGGTGGAGAGCTGGAGATGGAGCACAAGTGTCCCGCTAAGTGTGCTCTGTCTCCCCAGCCTGTAAAAGCAGCAGTAAGGAGAGAGAAGGATACAGTGGAAATTAGGGGGCTAGCCCATCGCATGCATGTCCTATATACTGCTCTTATACTGCATACAGACTAGAGGTCAGGGCACTAATCTGGATTTTTTCTTCTTCAGAAGAAGACTGCTCTTCGCTGCAGCCTTCCCAACTCCTGCTCGAGCTCCAGAAACACCCGTGAGTCTCTCCTCTCGCCCGGCTGGCCCTGCTGACTAACCACTGACACCCCCGCACAGCTTGCCTTCTAGTTCTTGTATGCTTATTGAAATACCTGAATTAAGTGCCAATGCAAAACCCGGAGCTGTAAATAGAGCACAGAAAAGATTTTGCTTCCAGTGGGGAAAAAAAAAATCAGGGAAGAGATTTTAGTCACAGTGATACTTTTATTTTCCTGATCTTAAAACTGGTGTGCTGTATGAGTAGGCCTTAATTTTCTCTCCTCACAGTGATTCACCAGGCTCAGCCTTGGTTCCATGGCAGGGTGTCGCGGAGAGAGGCTCAGAAGCTGATCGAGGAGCAGGGCCTGGTGGATGGGTGAGTGTGTACTACGTCTTGCTGCTCTTCTGCTCTGCCTCTCTCTCTGTCCTGTGTGTACTGACCCCTTGCCGTTTCCTCTCGGGCGGCATCGCAGGCAGCCCTACCTTTTTAGAATTTTGATCAGGTCTTCATTTAAAAAAAAACAATCCTGCTCCGTGTGACCCAGTCTTCCCACCCGCTCTTCCGAGACTCTGCTTCTCTCCCTCTGTACCCTGTGAATTACTCACCTTTTCTCGCATTCTGTCCGTTCGTAGGATGTTTCTGATCAGGGATAGCCAACAGCATGCCGGCTGTTTTGTCCTGTCGTTGTGCTACAAGCTGAAGACCAAGCACTACCTTATCATCCCTGTGAGTCTCTCTCATTGTCCCTGCTGCCTATTGGTATCCTTGTTGGTGTCTAATTGCCCCAGCTGTTTGCTTCAGTGTCCCCACTGTCTCACTGTTGTCTGTGTGCCTTACTTCTATTTAAATCTCTGTTTCCCTCTGTGGTGGCTGTGACCTTCCTGTCTGGCTCCATTAGACTGCTGTGACCCGTTTGTCTGCCGTGTTCCGGCTGCCCAGGGCGTGGCCGTAACCGCCTGTCTTTCTGCTCAGTGTGAAGAGGAGGGCCGCAGGTACTACACAATGGACGATGGGGTGACGCTCTTCATCGACCTCCTGCAGCTGGTGGAGTTTCACCAGATCAACCGCGGCATCCTGCCCGTGTGCCTCAAACACCACTGCACCCGCGTGGCCCTCTGACCCCCCCCACCCCACCCTCCCCCGCGCCAGCACTGCCACAGCCCAGCGCACTGCAGGTACCGCGGCACTGTGGGCAGGGGCTGGGGAGGGCGGCTCTCAGCAGCAGCTGTGACACCTTGCATGGACAGCTGTATTAATGTGGCGTGGGAACGGCTGGAGCTGGAGCTGGAGAGATCGATCATGAGCCAGGTCACCTAGGGTCTTGCATCTCTCACCTATTCTGTAGTTACTGTCCTTGGTTGTGCTGTACAGACAAAGCGACCGATACCTGTGCTACATGGATGCATGACGGAGCTCCCTTATACTGCTGTTCGAACACGTACAGCTGCCAGAGCCCGTGCTCCCCCTACTCGTTGAATGCCGGAGATCGTGCAGAGTCCTCTGGGGAGAGAGCTCGCACCTTGGTCGAGATGGACTCTAGTGATCTCTGGGACATCCCTGTTTTTAGTGTACAGACTTTTTTTTTTTATACTGCAGCTGACCTGTACATGGACATGCAAGACACTCCTTCCTGCAGTGTCAGCTGTGATCTGTTTGCTCTGAATCAGGCTGTCAAATCGGGATCGAGTGGCTTTGGATCTCAAGCGCCAGAGGCGCAGCGGTCCTTGTGAGGGGCGGGCTGGACTGGGAGGAGGTAGTTTTACTGGCTACCGAATGAGAGAGATCAGAACCCTGGGTCAGTTTTGATGCGGTATGCCATTACACATGATCTTATTTCAGTTATAGAAAATGGGCAAGACTTGGAAAAAGAATCCCAAATTTTCAAGCATGGAGTCATTCCCGAGCAGCTCTGGAGAGCCCGTAATCCAGAATCTGAGCTTTCGAATGGGGATGCTGGTTGCATTAATTCCTTTCCTGTGGTTCACCCCCATATATCTCCCAGACACATTAACTGCAATCAAGAAGCCACATTGGCCTCAATTAAAATTCAATTAGGGCTCAAATTTAACTCCCTGTGTTGGAGTATGAATTTAATTGAGGGCAATTCAGCTGAGCGGGCATCGAGATCTCGGATAATGAGGCAGGGCTGTGAGCAAGACGTGTCCTCCGAAAGCCATGCGTTACATCAGCCGCTGAGCCTTCATTGCTCACACAGTGCCATCGCCTCATCCAGGTGGGGGCTACGCACTGGTGGAGGGGGGGGGGTCCCCATTACCTGTAAAGCGCTTTGAGTGGAGTGTCCTGAAAATGTCAAGAGTTCATCATCTTTAGGATGGCCAGCTGGTTTACAACTGGGCTCTGTGGCAGCAGCAGCAGCAGCCCCTGTATTTGCACAGGAGGTGCCATGCCCAGTGGACATGCCCAGTGGTCGGGGCCCCTCATCAGTTTGAGGTGCTGCAGATGCCGAATCGGAGGAGTGCCTGGCAAGCGTGCCGGTTTCTCCCGGAGCTGAGGGATCCTGGCCGTATATACCACCTGCTCTTGCTCGGCGGCGCTGTGCCACTGCTTGTGCCACCCCTGTCGCAGCAGGTGGGCAGAGCGACTCGGAAGCTCCATCCGGCGATGCAGAGCTGCACTGCAAGGATGCCGAGCCAGTCGGAAATGCCTCGGCTGTAAATATCTATATATTTTTTTAACTCCTGCGGCAAGGCGCGACGCCAGTGTTTTGAAAGGAAAAGGTGCAATCCCATCGGAAGTGCCCCCTTGCTGTGCAGAGCTCCTGCCACACCGCCTGAACAAAGTGTTTCAATTTGGAGGCTGTCTTTCGCAGCTGGGGCTTCAGCATCTGAACTATTCCATCCGTGAGTCCATACAGTTTCCTACAGTCTGCGTCTCGTGATCTAAAGCCCTCATTCCAAGCCAGAAGGCTACAGACTGGTATTTATGGGTGTCTTGGGCCTACAGAGAGTTTTATCTTGGGAGCAAAGTGTTTCATACTATTTTTTTTTCCGTTCCAGCTGGGGGAGATTTCTCACACCCCCCCGCGTCTGCTGTGCGCAAGCTTTTGAAAATCCTCGGCTTTCATCTCCGTCTTGTAAGAAAAGCTACAGCAAGCCCACTGGGTGATTTTTCACAACCCGTTGCTCCAAAGGTTAAATTTTGCCCTGAGTTTGGTAAAGCAGTTTCAAGAGGAAGAAGGTGCAGATCTGAGTGACGGGGGGAAGAGAAACGGATGGGCTTCTGATTTGATCTGGTTTGAAATTTCCCCCAAGAAGGTGGAGCAAACTTTCAAGTGACGTTAAAATGCTATCCCAGTGCGCTGTAGAAGATATTTCATTCAGTACTCATGTTGGGGGGAAGTTTTTTTTTTAAAGAAATGAATGCAAAATTTAATAAAATACGTGAGCTAAGTTGCTTTTAAGAGGGATTGTTTTGCATGTTAACTACAGAGACACTGAGAATCACTGTAAAAGATTCCTTTTAAAAATAACTTCCCCCTCACCCACATGAACATAATCTACTGCAAGTAACTTTAAAAAGTGTTGCAGTTAGGAAAGGAAAGGAACTTCCCCAGCACTGTTCTGAACTGTCCCAGAGACTGCAGCACACATGGGAATCTGCATATGGACACTTCTGCACCTTCCAGTAGCCTTCTGTTCAGTTTTATTTATGTAAAGTGTGTCTGTCTGAGCTGATTGCACATCAGCGCTGTAGTGCAATATAATTTTCCATTCTTTCTTTATTACAATGGATGCAAAACATCCGGATTCACTGTGATTTAAACCCGGCAATGTGGGGGTCCCTGCTGAGTAAGGGGGGGGGGTCTTCATTGTTTCCTCAATGACAACTTGAGAAACAGCACCAGGAGAGGGAACACACTTGAGGTTAATGCCTTGTGTGCAACTGGGTTCCTTCAGTACATCAGCCCAGTGTTAAGGTTAGGGGGATAGCTGAGGCTCTAGTCCAAATCAGGGACTTGGTCTTTGCATCCAAAAACCAAACTGTCTCATGGGGTTTCACATCCCTCCATTTAGTCATTTCGATCTATAAAAATGGATGTGGGCGACCACCTGCTCCGAGACGTTTCTCCACTCAAACTCCGGTGGAGACAGGAGCCCAGAACAGCTACACAACAGCACCATTTCCAACCCCTGCTTCACCTTCTGCTAAGTGTTTTAATGTCTTATTTGTCTTGCCTGGACATGTGGATTCTGTTATTTTTACTATGGTTCAATGTTTATTTTAGATAAAATCCAGATCTTGCATCCTGTCTGAGAGGGTGCTTCACTTCCCTGTATATTCACGTTAAACGGGTAGGAATCGAGAAACGTGGGGCAAAGCAATGCTCGTGTTTTTAGTTCTCCGTGACCCAGCGGAGCCGTGTAAGCGTCGTGCGCTTGGCGCGGACACGCCTGGAAAGGGCAGCTGTCCTGTTTTTGGGTGCGAGCTGGGTTTTGATCGGGTTGATGGGCTGTCTTTAAGATGACCACTGGAGGGCGCCGGTGGCCGCGGTTAGACCCCCCTGCGTGCGCCGCTGATCCGGCTCTGTTGTGGAGAGTTAAAAAAGGCGATTCGTGCGTTTATAATTCCCCACCACCAGCACCACCAACGACTTTAAAGTGAAGGTGGCTTGTGACTTCAGTTTGTACTGAGACCGTGACAGCCCTGGGAAGTTGTCTGGAGGCATCTGTCTTCCGTTTTTGCGTATATTTTAAATCTTTGCTTATAGGACTACCTCGGGCAAACTGCTAGTCTTTAAGAAAAGCAACGTTTGGTTTGAGCATTTCTGCACAGTGTTCGTTGGTAAGGGGGCGGGGGTAGACCTGTTCAAACCCCGAACTATTGACCTGAGCAGAAGCTGGACCGGTGGTGTTGCAGTGCATGCCGGAACTTGTAGTCCTTTAAGGGAGACGTGTAGCTGAACACTGAAAAAGGGATATTTATTAAATACGTGATCTTTTCTGTACCTCTGACAGCCCCATTTTAAATTATATGTAGCTCCGGGAATACGTGTGTAGGACTACTAGTCCTGCTGGGTGTACTGGAATATGTCCTCTTGCCAAATCTGTTGAATGTTTTTTATTATTATTGTATAGCTTTCTGATGAGGCCAGTTTTGTTGTAATCTCTTACGTTTACATAAATCATACCTATTTAAAGTCTGTATTTTGTACAAAAATCTGTTTGTAAATCCCATTTTAAACAGCATTTTGGAAACCTTCTAATTTGTCTTTATATACATTTGTTATTTGAATAAAGTCTTTTATTTCTTCTCCTTTTTTTTTTAAGCGATTTGTTTTAAGTGCGGGGAACAGTTTAAGAGTGGAGCGGGCAGTGGGGTTGGGAGAGCTACCGGAAGAGGTCAAGGTTCGATGTTCAAATGGGTCAAGAAGAGCCCGATGGTCTTCTCCCCCTTTTCCCCAGCGGGGGGGGGGGGGGACTGAGGCCCCAGCAGGAAGGAAGGAGAAGTTAAACGGAGGACCTGGGAGACGAGCACAGCCTGTAGTGAGAGCAGAGCCCCACCCTTCCCTTTCACAGGCACGATTTCAGGTTGCCAATTCTCCATGGAGACGTTGCCTTGGCAACCGCTACTTACTTATTTATAGAGCTTGGCCAGGTAGAGAGAGAGAGAGCAACGGTTATGGAGAGGGAGACTGATGTGCCTTCAGGAAGGAAGATGCAAGTCTTTTCTCCTGATCGGCCTTCGATTGGTAGCCGGTTGATGAATAATTGAAGCCCCTGCCGCGAGACCACTGCCTCCGCAGCCATCGCAGGGCCTGTCCTGCTGAAAGGGATGGAGGGAGGCGTCTGGCTCTTCCGCACTGCTGCCGGGGAGCTGCGATATGATCATGGTCTTCCTTTTCCTAGAAATCTGCTGTACCGGATCAATCACAAATATCAAACATCCACCTCATGCACCAAGCTGCCTGCTGCCCAGACAGACCTGGAGACAGACGTGGTCTGGGGGCCTGTTATCTGAGGTGCATCGGCAGGTAACGGGCCCGCACACACACAGCCCCCTCTTGCCCTTTGCAGCTGGGCGAGACCCTGGCCAGCTGTAGAAGCACACAATTGCCCTCCAGCCCTGGAGGATCTTGGGAGAGGAGTCTACAAGGCCGTGGGGCAGATGCTGACCCCCATATCTCACCCTCAGGGTGTTTAATCAAGGGTGTGGAACTGTCAAGAAAATCCTCCCGACTCCCCATTGCAACTGTATAATAATTTAATAATAATAATTACTTACACTTATATAGCGCTTTTTCTGGACACTCCACTCAAAGCGCTTTACAGGTAATGGGGATCCCCTCCACCACCACCAGTGTGCAGCCCCACCTGGATGATGCAGCGGCAGCCATAGTGTGCCAGAACGCTCCCCACACACCAGCTCTCAGTGGGGAGGAGAGTCCCCGTCACTACACTGGGGCATTAGGACCCACATGAGCCGCAGGGTGAGCGCCCCCTGCTGGCCCCACTAACACCTCTTCCAGCAGCAGCCTTAGTTTTTCCCAGGAGGTCTCCCATCCAGGTACTGACCAGGCTCACACCTGCTCAGCTTCAGTGAGTTGCCAGTTGTGAGCTGCTTGTATAGCTGCTTGTTCCAGGAAATTGAAAGAAACGTTCCTCCAGTTGTTAATTCAATTGTGTGGCAGTCTGGCACACCCTGTGCCAAATGCTTTCCACTCTTGGGCAAGCAGAGGAATACACCGCTCAGGTAAACTGAGAAACACAAGGATCACAACAGCAGTCTGAGCAGGTCATCAGTTCTAAACTGGGTAGGTATTAAAAGTAATTTTACTATGGAATTGCCTCTCATTTCTTATTGACTGGCAATAGAGGTGCAGGTGTAATTGTATAGAAGCTCATGTTCCACGGGCGATGATTTTCCCATTTAAAGCAAAGTTTCCGTAGACGGCGTGGGCAGAGGGTTCAGGTTTCATGGTCATGACTAAAATCCAGGCGTTGCGCAGTTAGAGCCATCATAAGCCTCACCATTGCCCGAGATACTTAATTGCAGGGTGACGCACCAGTCGTTGCAGTCCTCTTCTGTTAGCAGTGCGCTGCAGTGAGTGTTGTATTGAAACTTCCACGGTGGAGCAGTCACAGGCATACCAGGCTGAGCTGAGAGATTAATTATTTTTGAACTCCGGGAAAGGGGCTCATATTCCCATTCCCAGTGTCCCAGTGGGACTGCACACTGAGCTGTGGCAAAAACAACACCTCCCACAGGGGCAAGTCCAGTTAGCATCCAGCACAGTTTCACCGGGACCAGCAGCTCAGGGACAAGTAGGTGTTGTGAGACAGGAAAGCTTACTCAGGCCTGCAGATGACTGATGAGTAATAAACACATGCAGACTAATCAGTCGCTTAACCAAGATCAGTCTGTTGTGCAGAACTCTTGCATATAAAGATACTAGTGTATATACTAGTACCACTTACTGCACAGAGGTATTACCATATTGAGCAGGACTGAGCAAGATTTTTTGATTTTGTACATGCTGTGTAATCTTCGCTCATCCTGGCCAAATTTCCCACTGGCCTTTACCAATCATGACCTCCTAATAACCCCCACATTGGTGGTGGAGGGGATCCCCATTACTTGTAAAGTGCTTCGGAGTGGAGTGTCCAGGGAAAGTGCTATATAAGTGTAAGGAATTATTATTATTATTATTATTATTATCATCATCATCATCTTTCCCCGGGAGGTGGGGAGACGGTGGCCGTCAATCGCTTCAATTCGTTTTCTCCCTGAGGGCTGACCCGTCTGCCTGGCGCCTGGATGGAAAAGGACACAGTCATTCCCAACAGGGCGGCCAGCCCGATCACGGCGAGGCAAAGGAGCTGGTTCTGCTCCTGCGGGCCGGGTCCTGCGGCCTCCTGGAGACCCGGCACGCAGGCGGGATCCGCCCTGCGGTGATGAGCTCGGCTCCCCGCCGGCGGAGTTCATTTTTATCATCGCCGAGGGCGCATAAATACGTCAGTCAATCCAATAAAATTACTTGTATACGTACATAAAAATAGTGATTGATAGACCCGTGTGGAGGCCTGCGGGGGAGCCAGCCTGTCGAAGTAGGCTTGGCGTTACGCGTTTCGGCGACGTCTCTCTTAATTTTGGCCGGTCCCGTTGCGCAGTTAAAACGCGGAGGAAGATGAGATGGGAGATCAAGCTCTTTTGCAATCGTTTAAGGCCCGTCATAAACAGTATTTACGAATTTATTCTTAGTAGGATTTCTCAAAATTACTTTTCCTTCTCCACCGCCCCTCTCCGGAATTCACCTGATTAAAGCGGCGATGGCGCTTCTGTTTGAAGTGCATATTTCAAAAGCAAAAACGGGCGTACACTGGTGTAGCAACGAACCAGTTCAGTTTTCACATGTGTGTACGGAAGTTACATTCCCCCAGGTTTCTAATGGAGGTGTGTTTTGGGGGATTATTGCCAACATGAAAAGAGCACCTTTGTTTTTTGATAAGCGGGGAAAACTGACGAAATTTACTTGTCTGACGCCCAGCCTTTACAACAGACTTGTGCCGTTAGTTTTAAAACACTGCGTTTTCATTTTTTAAAAAACCGCGAAGCGATTTCACCACGAACAGGTGTCTGCATACCGGGGTATGCGTGCTGGGTCAGAGATACTGTAAATAACGGGAAAACTATAGGAAATAAAGTCCGAGGAGGAGATGCTTCGACTTCTGTCTTCCTCGTCGCTACTATGACGCCTGTGGATGAAGGTGTCTGGTATTTTCCTTGAAGTAGCGCTGGGATCTTGGGTTACACCGGGAGCTTTCATCTGTTGACGGACTCGCAGAGCTGGCGAGGTGGAAAAGGCTGCGATGAGTTACTGCCCAGGGTGTTTGTTCAGATTAATAACAGAGGACCCAGGGAGCTCTTGCGCTCTTCATTAATTCATGAACCGGCGGTTCGCGATTGAGTTTCATTCCTCTCGCTCACCTGCAGCACCGCCGGGGCCGTCGAGACCGGGGCGCTGGGTTTTAAGCTTTGACCCGTTTATTTATTATTTTTTTTGTTTTACCCTCACGGCTGTTGCCCACACCATAAGATGCGATGTGTCACCGCACGGAAAGAAGGAACCCCATCATGACTAATGCGCACATTTTACCGCTCGGATAGAGGAGGTTGCAGAGCAGGTGTGTGACAGGGTACCGCCTCGGCCAGCTCACCGGACCCGGACTCTAGTGAGGCAGTCAAGACAGGTGAGATTTCTACTCCCCCCCACCAGCAGCCAGACAGAGACGGGTGAGACACATTAAAACGACGGAAAAGGTTGAGAAAAGTTGGAAACGTCCAACTCCAAACCTTCCCCCTTTGATTGAGTTGACGTAGGATGCAAAGGAACAGGTAAAGGTGTATTCCGTGCTGAAAGGAAAAGAGAAGAGACACCAGGTGTGTCTGAAGGGAAACGTTGTGTCTCTTTTCTGTTCCGCACGGAATAAACCTTTGCCTTTTCCTGTGATGCCGGCATTATCTCGTTTGCTCCCATGTTGGTCTTCCTCCACTGGCTATACTGGGATATCGAGCAGAGCAACCACTTTGGGAATGGGCCATGTCATTTCCAAACCCAGCACTGGCAGACTGGTGAAAAGTGACACAGTGTACACCGATAGCACTCCCGATAGTACTTTTCCCAAAGCAAACGATGAGGGCAGGACAAGAGTCAGATGTCGCTGTTCGGTGTTCAAGCGAAATGCTTGTAAATGGCACCGGCGCTCGTGTTTTGCGGTTCTTGCCGATCGATGAGACCAGATTATTGTATTTTGTTTTTGGTGATAAGCAGATGAAAATACGCACCGCCCATTTCGCTACAGCAAGAAAGTGCCACAAAACGTATATCATTTTATCAGGACAGGAAAGGAGAACGGAACCCAGGCTCCTTTACAAAAATTAGATCGCAGTCCCTTATGTTACAATCCGATATTTTGTTTTCACAAATCTCCCTGGGACACCCAGCAACACCCTGGGTGTTCGTGTATATAAAAAATTAAAAAAACTCAAAATAATACGCATCTGTTCCCGGAGCACCGCCATTTATTACTGTATGTCAGACAACGGCAATACTCAAAACGGTGAACGCCGGAAACCGACAAAACGTTACCTACGAGTGATTAATCCGTGATATAAACTTAATAACTGACTGGAATTGTTTTTGTCTAAAGACAATTTCATTTTCTTTCTGAAATAAACAGTTTCCTTTATTCACTCGACACGACGATTTATCCGTTTACAACACAACGCTCGTCGCTGTGCGCTGCGCT